TGGGGACACAGCCGTGTGTCATCAGGGATGTGAACAGCAGGGGGCTCAGGACGCAGCCCTGCGCGGAGCCTGTGCTTAGGATGATGACATCTGGTGTTCTGTCCGACCCGGATTGACTGAGGTCTGTCTGTGAGGAAGTCTAGCAGCCAGTTGCAGAGGGTTGTATTGAATCCCAGATTTTCCTGTTTTCCTATCAGATGCTGTGGGATGATGATGTTGAAAGCTGAACTGAAGTCCAGGAACAGCATCCGCACATGGATGTTCTTCTCTTCCAGGTGTGTCAGGCTCAGGTGGAGAGCAGCAGAGATGGCATCCTCAGTGGAGCGGTTTCGTCGGTAGGCAAACTGGAGCGGGTCGAATTTTGGGGGCAGACTGAAGGCAATGTGTTCTTTAACCAGCCTTTCTAAGCATTTCATCATGATTGGAGTCAGTATGACAGCCCGGTAATCATTTAGTGAGGCTTCTTTGGGACCGGAATGATAGTGGAAGACTTGAAGCACGCTGGCACTATGAATTGGTCCAGCGAGGTGTTGAAAATGTCTGGAGGACACCAGCCAACTGCCCTACAAACGTCCTGTACACCCATCCAGGTATTTTATCGTGGCCTAGAGCCTTTCTTGGGTTGACTTTAAAGGCAGACACACTGCTGTTGCTGACAATTATTTTTGTGCACTCCTTTCTTTTTCTTTTTCTAAAGAAGCATTTAGATATGTCTACTCTGTTTATACCCTTTCAATTTAATATGCATTGGAAGGGCCTCTTTACTCAGATTTTCCTTCATGTAGGAAGTGTTCCTCAACTAATTTTGTTAGTTTTTCCCCTGAATTTGCTTTCCATCTTCTCAAATCCCCAGTTGGTTGCAGCAGATGGCCGCCCACACTGAATCAAGTTCCTCTGGATGTTTGTTCCTGATTAAAGGGAGCTGTTTCTTTTCTTTGTCCCCACATGCCCACTCAGCATGAAGAACTGCAGTTAGTTCAGTGACTCGACAAAACTGAGACAGCTTTCACCCAAGATAACTTTTGAACTATTAGCACAATAGTCTAATTTAGACAACATTGTACAAAAGTTAAAATTTCATGAGATTGTTAGTCATTGTATCTAATCTGTCTATATGAGTATTATTGTATTTAT